ACTAACCCCGTCGTTGGGAGAATTAAAATCGAGGTACATAGGTACATAGGAGTGGCTGGGGGGGGGGGGGGTGAGGAGGAGGCTGGAGGAGAGAAGGGGGTCGTACTTTGCCTCCGAAGAAATATGGACTTTCCGCGGTTGCGATTTTACCCGCTCCACTGATGCTATATTCCCATCTCCCCCCCCCACCCCTCCTCCCGCCCGACGGGGCACAATTTTGGGATAAGATGGAAAATTTCCAGGTTTCGGTAGAAGTGGTAGGAAACTCGGAAAAGTTGGCAAGAGAAGCATTATAGTAGGTAGCATGAGGAGGATGTGGGTCGTATTCGTACAGAACGTGTCCTGTTGGCAGATATGAGGCAAGTCAGCAAAGGGGGAGGGGCATATAAAGGACTCCTCGCGCAAAACTGGAAAAGCCAGATGCGAAAACATTTTTGCACAAAGAAATCGGATCGCCCACCCAGAGACTCTTTCCTGCCAGGGCTGAGACAACACACATTCCAGCTATCCCAGGATCTTTGAATACCCCCTCTTAGCCGACTTGCACTGCAGACATTAAAAGTTGTAAAAAATAAAGTAATAAAAATAGCACTTGCATTTTGTCCAGGCATACAACAGGAAAGGAAACGCAACAAACGAGGCAGAATAGGCAGTCAAAAGGCGTCAGGCGCTTAGCTTTGGTAACCTAGCTTTATGATGCACGTCAGTCATATAAGCCAAATCACCAAAGAGAAGAACCAAACCGAAGATTATTAGCAGATTGTAGCAGTAGTAGTACTTAGTAGTAGACAGAATAGGTAGCAGTACTGACCAGTCGAGAGACCGCTGCCGGCGCAGGCCACCGCGAAACCGCCAGAATGAACCGCAGTGTAGGTCATTGGCGCTTATCAATAGATAAGCGATCAGGGCAAGTGATGATCAGTAGTGACGATCAGTTCGAATGAGCAACAGCTCTCACAGCGGGTGTTTCACAGCAATGCTACGCGAGTACAGTAGCAGTAGACGAGTGTGTGCCAATTACGGATGAACACACCTGAAAGGGCGGTCCCAACAGACCACGCCCACGTCAAGGTCGAACTGATCGCATCGTGCGCATATCATCATGATCGGAGTACGGTGGATTATCGATCGATCAATCAATAGTGATAAGAGAATGCCGCCGCGTTGCTGAGGTGCAGATCCGTCACTCCGTCACTCGGCATTCAAGGTGGGTCTAGGCTAATGGGAGCCTTGAAATAGACTCAGATGGGGAAGAATGAATCGGAAGCGGAAAACGGGAGGAGGAAGTGTGTGGGTGCGGAGGGGGGTAGCAGTGGGTGAGTAGGAAGCATGTGCATCTGCTCTCACTCTTGTGTCCTCTAACACACCCCTTATCAGCGAGACGACGACACTCCGTCTCTTGTACGCTCTCTGGCGCGCAATCCAACCAACCGGTTCCCGAAAAGAAACGGCACCCCGGGAAGACAATGCATACTTGCTAATTGACAGCGGGAGCGAATCCAAACAGAAGCGAATCGAATACAATGCGGGGTAGGTTGATCAGAAAGGAATGTTGATGACATAGTAACGAGCCTCAAGCTTACAACTATTCTCGAAAAGTAGCAGTCGGTAGGAGGGGCATGGGAGGAGGTTTCTGGTCCAGGCAACCTCAGCGAGATAGGCATTTCGGGTTTGAGGGCAAAGAGTCAGGGAGACTGAGGAGCTTAGGAATGTGCATTCACAGCTATAAAAGGGCCAAACGCATCCAGCATTCAGGCTCTTTTTATTATAAGCCACGCATTTTACTTCCATTCAGAATCGCACTGGCCACTGAGCGCGATTTCGCTAGCGCAAGGGCTTGCGGAACCAACCGATGTGCTTTCATCTTCTCTGACCAGAGAGGGTGGGTTCGCTGGGAATCCTCAGCGAGGGAAAAGGATCGTCTTTATATAATCTAGGGAGATGGAGGTCTCATTTGTTTGAGTCATTTCTGTACTTTTGAGGAACTTCTTACATCTTACTCTGAACTGTTAAGAAATATGTTTCGGTTGTTGACTTTTCCAGAGTTCTCCCGCTTGTGTTATGTACCCACCCCCCTTTCCTCCCGGTATGACGGCAGTTTTCACGGAGAAACTGGAAAAAGTGGTTTAAGATTAGAGAATTTGAATGAAAGTGGTGGGGAAGATAGAGGAAGGGAAAAATTCCAAGAGAGGGGAGGAAGGTCGTATTTTTCAAATTTTTCCTGGGCAAGACGTGTCACATCTCTGACGCGTCTGCTTACATTTATGCGAGCCCAGAGGGGCAGGGTTTGATTAGGGCGGGACGGGGGGGGGGGTCGGGAGGGGTTCAAAGCTGATCTAAAATTCGACCATCGGACTGCGCCAGCGTTAGGCAACGCCTCTTGCGGCAACGTCCCTCCCCTTTTTTGGATTAGTACACTTTTTTGAAAATTCTGATGCATTTATCATCGAATTCGCTGGAATAGCGGCTTTCCTCCCACTAGAAGAGCAAGTCCCCCTAGATGTGAGGAAACTAAACCCACTCTCTGCGAAGAGTTCCCGATGTAAGGCCATGTCACCCTTTCGAGGTGTGTCGGTCAATTCTTCAGATAATAAGGATTCCAAATAAACGTGCTAACTGAAGTCTCAAAAAGTATAGAAATGTAAGGAAATCTGCAGAACTATCAGAAGGGGAAGAATTTCTGTGGAACCGTCGATTTGATTGGAATACCTCTACACGCAATTATAACGGGTTCTCTTCCAGAACTTGTTGCCAGAGCGGTTTCCAGGGAATACGTGGCCAAAGAAACGAAGGGTAAGCATCTCTGTGTTTCTTTCTGGCAGTCCCAGTTAAAATGATATAGATTGAAGCCTTCGAGGTTGGTCGATAATTTTCAGAGAGCCATGCCTACCTCCATCCAGGATCGGAAGAATTCTCGATTTAATATCCCCTATATAGTGGTTTGCGGAATCAGCGCATGTGAAGTCCACGTTTTCGCCTGGGGGAGTTGAGAGGAGGGGAGGGAAGGACTAACTAAGCGACCTCATAGGAGGTCGATCCGAGATTCGACCGTGCACACGTGGGATGCTTTCCCGTGGTAGGCGTAGGATACTGTCATTTGGAAAAACCGTCATTCTGGGTCGTATTTTGCATAAATGCTGAGGAAATAACGATGAGAATTCTGGAAGTCGTATTTTGCTGAAATTTTCCCCAGCATGAGGGCGTTCTCTGGGCTGAAACGTCATCTTCCGAGGATCATCAACAGGTATATTGCTTCCGCCTAGCTCCTGCGTCCGCGTCACCTGTGCCGGGGTCAAAACACCTTGAGGCACGAGATGCTGAGAACTTCATCCCTAGAGGTACAAGGTTTCAGGGAAGTAATGATACATTTTCGACTATGTGGGCTTTTCTCTCAGTTTTTATCTATTCGCATATTGATTAGGGCAGGTAAGTAGTCGATCGATAGAGGAGGAAAGGGCTACAAAAAGACTTTGAGTGCTTACTAAAGTAAGTACAGAAAATGCTTTCTGATATGGCTTTGCAACTCGTGCCATCTGAACACCAGTTTCGCCATGTCACTCTATTGCTGCACCTTTTCCTGTCTGGCTTCAACGCTAGTGAACCTCATCTACCCAGCTGGAGGCTTCTGTGGGAAAGTTCTCAATCGAATGACTATCCACAGTTAGGTGGCTCGTTCATCAAAGGTGAAGACAGGTCCATGCGC